AAAAAGAAAAAATATATATAAAATAAAAACTAGCCAAATGGCCTATTAGAGGAAGTAAAATATTTGAGACCTTACTTAGATGTACTTTTGGGGTTTTGCAGTCACAAGACCAAAAGGGCTCTATTCAAAATTCCATATCCTATTTAAGTTTTCCCAATATATGAAACCCAAGAAGTAGGCTGATCGTTAGTGAGTTACTCAGTGTAACCCAGTGCAGTCATTCAAAGTACGGAGGGTACTGAAAACTTCAGGGCTGAGACTGATTTCAACAGTTTACCACAACAGAGTAACTCAAATCCCAGGAAATGCACTGTTTGGGTATGGTAACCAGCAAAGAACAAGGTTGGCGCAATCATCTTTTATTCCATTAAGAACAACTAAACAGACCACGTCCTACTTCTGTTCCAGGAGCAGAGGGATTCTGAAGGGTCAATATTTCATGAGACTCAGAAGAACAGAAACCTCACAGTGGCTCCCAAAAGCTCCCTTTGCACACACAGGGACAGTCTGTGGACAGACTAGGTTCCGTTGCCTCTAGAAACCAGAGGGAAACACAACAGCCCTGAGTGCACACACACTGGCGTGATGTGTGCCAAAACTCGTAACAAAAGCTGTTCAACTGCTTCCGGACCTTAGTCCGATTGCTCCACTACTAACTTTTATGCCACACGTGTTAAAACCTGGACTCTCTCACATTCCCCCTTGGTCTCCTCTGGGGGGAGGGGGAGGACAATGGTACAAGGGACTGTGAGCCTCCGATAGACAAAGAGACCAAGAGAGAAGCGGAAGGAGCTCCTCCAGGATGTCCCCACTGCCAAGCCTGGCCCTGGCTCTGCCAGAGCCCCCGCCTGAAGACCGACCACAAGCACACGGCCCCTTGTGGCCCAGGCTGCAGGGAGAGGGGCGGGAAGGACTGTGAGAGAGTGCTGAAGTCAGCTGCTCCCGAGGCTCTGAGTCAGCACCTTCCAGACCAGGGCGGCTGTTGGGAAACAGACTTCTCTCCCACAAAACCCCAAATACAGCAGCAGCCCAAGAGCTCAAAACCCACGGGCGCGCTGCGGAGCGGGAGCCCCGAGCTGATCACGTGTGCCAAAGAACTGGGGGCTGGAACCCAGCACCCACCCGGCCACCGCTGCCCCATGAGAGACAAGAAAGGAGGAGCGGGGTGCTCCATCCATGTGGAGGAACTAGTCCTGCCTGCAGCCAGGCTCAGTTTAAAGTCCTTACTAAACAAGCAAACACAACAATGACCTCATACCAGAAACTGTTTTCCCCACGAAGACTTGGATAGCTTCATGCTTCAACTAGCTGCTGCTCTTCAAGGGAAGGGGTGGAGAGGGTAATTGGGGTTGCCGTGGAAAGAGAGTCGAAATGTTCCAGTCAATGAGGTATCAAAGTCATTCAACCTTAAGGGCTGCCTAGGAGATTACATTACCTGAACAAGGCAAGACACAAAATGGTACACAGACACAGACACACTAACTCAGGAAAAAAAAAAAAAAGTTTGGAAGGAAAGATACTAACCTCTTAAAGTATGACTGACGGAATTATAAACAATTTATTCATTTCTTTCTACTCTTCTAAACCTAAGAATAATTCTGCAGCCATGTGAGCGAGCACAGTTTTGGAAGGGAGGCATGTGAACCAGTGTGGGAGGAATGAGCTCCTCCAGGTGGACCAGATGGTCCAAATTAATCCTGGTCACCAAGAAGGAGGCAGACAAAAAGGACAGACCACACATCTATCGATGGAATCGTTTTTCAAATTTTCTTTAACGAGTGTGTATGGCTTTTCAGTTGAGGGGGAAAGACATCCCACCCCAGCCTCCCTGAGATGTTAGTGACTTGAAGCACTGTGTATGTGGGAGCCTTGAGGGCTTCGAGAATCTCCCTTCTCTCTATGCAGGGACGTGTGAGAGTCTCCCAACACCGCAGGACTGTGTGCAGTGAAGGGAGAGAAACAGCACCGGGCAGAATTCTGAAACGTAAGATAACTCAGAATGGTGAGTTCGGGTGGCTGAACAAAAAAGCTGGGTATTCTCTCAATTATAGAATATCCTTTCCTCCAAAATGACAAGCTTTCCCTGCTGAGGCCACTCACGCCTCGACCACGGGCCCTGCACCTCCAGGCTCTGCGCTGTACACAGAGAAACCTAACATCTGAGGGACGTAGAGGAGGCCTCTACCACGTAGCACGCCATGTCCTTCTTCTACATCTTCTTCCATTTTCAAAAGAATGCAGAAACAAAGGGCAGTGAACCATTCTAAGACAGGAAAACCAAACGTACGAGAGGGAGAGAACCGGGACAGTAAGCTGATGAATTACGGGGGCGGAATCTGCCCGCGTCAGCGGACTGAGAAGCCCGCGCTCCCGGGCCATACGGACACAGTACAGCACAAGCAGCCTTCTGGAGGAAGACGGATCAGAGGCTTGTTTCTGGCTCCTGAGGGAAAGGGAGGGACAGTTTTATGACACTATTTACTAATACATTTGGAACAAGAAGAAAACACTGATAAAAGCCATCACAGGCACTGGCAGGCTCCTTGGAGCTTTTATGGTGCTGGTGAAGGGACTGGAAGTCCACCCACCATGCTGGAACTCCTGAGGCACAGCCTGGAGGCTCACGGCAGCAGCCCCTCGAGCCCTGCCCAGAGGTGGTGGATGGACTAAGAGGGACCCAGTGCTCGGCGAGCCAGGCTTCTGTGCCAGGCAGGGCTCCAGGTGCTGTCTACACACACTCTATGCTTCACAAGAGCTCTGAGCCCAGAGTGACACAAGCAGCAGGTGGTGTTACTGGGTTTAAACCCAGGCCTACCTGATCCTAAGGACTTTTTCTGATAACTCAGAACCATCCAGCAGGGGCGCCTGGGTGGGTAAGTGAGTTAAAGCCTCTGCCTTCAGCTCATGTCATGATCCCAGGGTCCTGAGATGGAGCCCCGCATAGGGCTTTCTGCTCAGTGGGGAGCCTGCTTCCCTTCCTCTCTCTCTGCCTGCCTCTCTGCCTACTTGTGATCTCTGTCAAATAAATTTTAAAAAAACAAAAACAAAAACCATCTACCAAATCCCAGTCTATTGTCTAAGGGCAAGTATTCCTGTTCCATGGTCAGCATATCAAATCCCCATTCTTCCACCCGTGACATTCCTCCATGACATTCACATGCCCTGTACTTTCTGAAGCAGTGCCAGTTGTGAACATGCTGGTCCCACCGCTTCCGTGGGTGCACCCCTACTTGCCTCACTGTGTGGTCTGCCCCAGGAAGCCTCTCACTTACTGATGCACATCAGGGGCCACCCTCGGCACTTGCTCCTTCCGAAGAGGGACGGTCATTCCTCCCATAGGGACAGGTCATTTAAATGCTCTGATTTGCCTCCCATGTTTCTGCTTTATTTTTACAAATTAATACTCAAATATTACAAATTACAAATATTACAAATACTTCCCAACTGGAGGACCACGCTCAAGGGAGGAATCCCAGCAAAGGAGAATACCCCACAGAAGGAACCACACTCCTGCCTATAATTGTTCCACTTGCTGGGTTTGCAGGCAGCATGGTGCTGGAAGGAATGCCCCCCGCCTCCCCTCCGCCACTGAGACGTGATTTTACAGTATCTCATCGGAATGCAACTCTCAGAATGGGAACTGCCAAACTGTAATTTAACTGGAATCCATGGAAAGTCTTACACGTAGATTAAAAAGCTTAAGTGCTCAAACAGGACACAACAAAAACTGGGCTTGACTATGGTTCACTTGGAAAATTAAAGCCCTTCAGCTTTTGGTAGTGAAGTTAAAGATCGCCTCAACAGTATCATGTGATTGTTTAACAGGAGAGAAAAAGGAAAGTGGGCATCCTGTTAGGATGTGTTAATGGAAGAGGAATGTCCAGATCACAGAACTGTTCAGCGGACTCTCCAGAATGACAAATAACATACTCAGGGCTGAGAGCACATTTAACAAACTGATGGAGTCCTTAGAGGAGGAGACCTGGTGTCTAATGCAGAAAGAAAAGAGAACAGAGAAACATAAAGCAATTTTCAGATGTTTGACAGGCTGTCATATGGAAGACAGGGTCTAGAATGGGAATCAGTGGGTGGAAATGACTAAGACAACAATTTTCCATTCAATCAAAAGAAGCTTCCAAACCATGTCTGTGGGAGGCAGATGATGGCCCCCCAAGATGACCGCAGCCCAATGCCCAGAACCCATGTCTGTGTTACTCTGCACGGTAAAGGGACTTCACAGATGTGGTTATGTCAAAGCTCTCAAGAGGGAGACTCTGGGATTATCGTTGAGGGTCCAACATAATCACAAGGCTTCTTGTAAGAGGGAGGCAGAATGTCAGAGAAAGACATGGGACAACAAACCAGAGGTCAGACTCAGAGAAAGATCTGAGGATGTCACAGTGCTGGCTCTGAAAACAGAGGAACGGCTATGAGCTAAGGGATGCAAATGGCTTTCAGAAGCTGAAACAGGCAAGGGAACAGATTCTCCCCTAGAGTTTCTAAAAGGAATGCAGCTCTGCTGACACCTGGATTTTTGCCGAGTAACATCCACAGTGGACTTCTGACTTTCAGAGCAGTAACAGAACACACTGGTGGTGTTTGAAGCCACTAAGTCTACAGCGACTCGTCAGACCAGCAACAGGAGACGAATGCAATGTCTAACAAGAGAATACCCACTACTGGCCCCAGGGAGCTCCCCGTCCCAGGAGGCAATCAAGGAGAGACTAGACACCTACCTGTCAGGAATGCTATGCAAGGTAGTCCCGGATGACCCCCACCATACCCCTGTGACTCTGGGAGTTCTCAGGCACATGGCAGGTCCTCCTATTGTTGTATTCTACATACAAGTTCCCAATCCCGGGCCCAGTGGCGGGCAAGGCTCGCCCTCGCCTTCTCCCAGGAGGACAGTGGTTAGTTAGTATAAGGCACCCTTTGGGCGGGGGATGCCTAGTGGTGCCCGAGCCCGGCCCAGAGTTTTAACGTGCTCACAGGGTGCCTACCTGAGCAGAGGACCCCTCTGTTCCTGGCACAGGAGAAGTTGTCACACTGGCAGAAAGAACCGTAGATCTTCCCAAACTCGCTCTCGAAGCAGGAGCACTGGTTGCAGCTGCACTCCCCACGCCCACTGCACAGGGGCTTGCCCTCGGCTTCCCGGCAGAGGTTCTGGTACCCAGTCTGGCTCTCCCCTTCCTGGCACTCACAGCGGGTGCCCAGGTGGCCGGGGTTGCACTCGCACAGGCCGCACACGTAGGTCCCGTTCCCACTGCACCGGGTGCTGTCGGACTCCAGCCGTGCGCTGCAGCCGCACTGGCAGCTGTAGGTGACCCCCACCTCCAGGCTGTCCCGGAACCCTACGGGCCGCAGGGTGAACGTGTGCTCTGTGGGCCTGCTGGGGCAGCTGCGGGCCTCCGCCGACACCTCGAAGGACGCCTGGGTGGGAAGGAGAGAGGGGACGTTGCGGCACGGCCGGTCAGGGCCTCCCCACCACCCAGAGGCCCAGCGGGGGGAAGCACCCCTGAGGTCCTCGATGGAGAGCTGTGGCTGCAGGCCAGAGGCAGACGAGGCCCCCCCAGATCCACGAGCGCCCTCACAGTACCCAGGACGACAGCACTCAGGTGCGCCCAGGGCATGTGGTTCTAGCTCCCCTGCATTTCTGCCTTACCCTACCCGCTCCCCTCTCTGTTTAGGAAGTCGCTCCTCCCATGAATACTTCCCCGGCATCCCCTCTGTGCCAGGCACTGAGGTAGCTGCACCCTTGACCTCGTGGGGCACGGGGGCCCATGCACCCTGGCACCTGCCTGCCCCTCTGCAGAAAGGGTTCCTCTCCTGCTGGAGAAAGGACGAGGGGCCCTGGGTCCCTGCCAGGGTGCCTGCCTCACCACAACACACACCTGAAGGATCCCTCTACCCCCGGGTTCCTGCTCACACTGGTCCTTCCAGCTGCACCCCTCAGCCCCAATCACAGTCCCAAGTCATCACTGATGAGTGTGCCACACACAGGGACAGACTTTTTCTTTCTAAGCACAGCCTGTGGAGAAGTGTCACTGACCCCTGAGCTGCTCACGGGTTGCCCCAGAAACAGGCAACCAGGTGGGCAGCTGGGGATGGCCTCACGGGAAAGACCCCATCACCTGCCCACATGGCTGTGAGGGGAGGAGAGCACGGGCGGGCTCTGTGGGGTACTCCCAGAGGCAGAGCGCAGCTCCTCCCTGGGCTCCCCTGGGACAGGAGTGGGTGTGGCTAGTCAGCGAGGCTGCCCTCAGGGCCCACAGACAGGCAGCTGGCACGCCCTGACCCAATGCCACCCTGAAACACTTCTCCCCAAACAGCGGTGCTCCTGAAACAGACCGGGGTGTCCACTGACTGACCCCCTGCGTCTGGCCGGATGACTCTGTTTTTCAAAAGACCCCTTGGGTCGTTCTGAGGTTCAGAAGGGGTTAGAAACCACTTTTAGCTACTGCTGTTCTTAATTGCATTAATCACTTGGGTTGGATTAAAGCTGATTTTTTAGAAAGTCATCTATAACTGGCTTTACCGGCCTCTCAGGTAACAAAGAGGTGTATTTTTGGAGAACAGTGAAAACATGTTTTTGTCTAAATGTTCTATAGATCCCTATCACTTTGGGGTCTTTATCAATTCTAAAAGGTCTCCCCTCAAATTCTGTGACATCTAGGGACACCGGTGGGGGGGTGGAGGGGCAGATGAGACTGAGCGGGAGGACAGATCCAGCGCTCCAGGCCCTGGAGAGAAATTCCCACTTGGCAGTAGGCCCGGCTCCAGGTGACCCAACGATGGACATCCAGGAATCAGCGTCAGCCAAGGGGTGTCACAGAAGCTGCTGCTAGACAGGTGAGCTGAGGATGATGACCAACAGCCAGGGTCAGAGGACGCTGGGAGAGCCAAACCAGCTGCAGACAGCTGAGACTAGCCCACCCGCACTCTCCAGGTCTACACAGATGGTGGAAGGAGGCAAAGGGAGAGACAGGCTATGTTTCAAGGACCCGAGGTATAGGTGGGCTCTTGAGGTAAGGAAACGAGATGAGGACCCACCTGGGAACTGAACCCTGCCTCATGACAACAAACATGACTAGTTACCAGGGGACAGATGCCTACATGTGCCAGGCACTGTGCTGGGCATTTCCATGAGTGTCTCATGTACATGCCCTAAGAAGAGGTATTCTCATTTACTGGAGAGAAAACAGGGCTGGTGGGTAAGGGAGCTTAGTGCTGGTCACAGAGCTGGTGGGGGTGGGACCCAGCTCTTCCCGGCACATCCTCTCCTGGAAGTGGGAACATGGCAGGTGTTCAGTGTTCATGTCTGGGTACGGGGGGTAAGGCAGCCCCGTGAACCGCAGGGACTGCAAGATGGTGATCCACAAGGGGGGACCAGAGGCATCTCAAATCTACCTGCTTTGGGCTAGAGGGGACCCAACCTCCAGACAGGAAGGGGGTGGGGTGCTTGACCGAAGCCCCCCACAGGGCCGTCAAGAACGCAGAGACGAACTTCCCTGCTTTGAGAAAGAAGCCATGACTTGCTCAACGCTACCACTTCCTGGGGCTACAGTGGTAGAGGGCTTGTTAAAGGAAAAGTCCCTGCCTCCCAAAGGTGTCTGGGGCTCAGAAATGGAGTAAGTGGCAAAGAAATAAGCTAGACCAAGAGCCAAAGGGATTTAATTACTGAAAGACTGTGAGGAGTGTCCATCTGGGAGCAGAACCTGCCCCCAGGGAAACTTGCCTGCATCAAGGGACAAAGTAACAAGAGAATTCAATCTCCCCAGTCTTCCCAGTGTGCCTGTGTTTGCCAGGGAGTAAGTGGAGAAGCCAGGGGAGCCCCGGGATCAGTGCAGGCAGCCAGTGACCCAGGATTTAGAAAGGCTCATAGACTATCTGCCTGGCTGGCGGAACGAGGAAGAATGGCCTTTAGGCAGTCCTGGTGGCTTTCCTCAGCCAAAGCTTTGGTCTAACCCAGGCCCTAGCTGTCAGGCCCATGTACCCTGGCATGTGGCCAGCCACCTGATAAACAGAGAGTGGCTCCGTCTAACTCAGCCACTGGTCTCGCAGGTCCTGCTGGGCACAGGAAAGCTATAAAAAGCACTTCAGGAACAACAAGTAAATCTGTTCTGCTACCTTCCTTTCAGAGTCCATTTCCCTGAGGGGTCAGGAAAGAATCCAGCCGCTGTCAAGCAGCTGGAAGGAGACTTTTCCCTGATTACTGTGGACTTCAACTCATACTCAAGGCTCCCCAGTTCCCAGAGACCTTTCATCTCCCACTCTGAGATTCCAGAGGAAGGTCATGGACATAGCAGCCCTCCCTCCCATCCAGTCTTGTTATTTAAGCCTCATTGGGATGCTCGTGGTTTCCCTGCAGGGCTGTTGGCCTGATCCACGCTTTCAAAAGGGCTGCCCAGCCCCCACCCCAAACCACCAAACCCGGGGCTGTACAGATGCCAAGTCCACCAGGAGCTCATTGAAACAAAGCACTGGGCATGGGCACGGACTACAGAGCCCCAAAGGAGGGGACAGGAGAGGGGGACACTGTGGGAAGCCCATGATGGGGCTCACTAGGTCCTTTGTACTGGGCGTTAGTGTTTGCTGTACGGCTGGTCACTTGCATACTGATTTGTCGAAGTCAGTTCATGAGAAAACCAACTCCTGGTGGCTGGGCCCACTGGGTCAGCCCTAGCTGGTGTTGGGCCCAGAGGCGGAAAATTAGGGAAAAAATTAAAATCACTGTAGAAGAGAACCTCATTGGATTTGACACTTTGAAGGTTTTATTTAAGGAGTATTTCTTTTGTCCCTCATCCCCTGCCACCTCTCCTGCTTCCTGCCTGGAGAGATCTCTTAACCCAGAGAACACAGAAGAGTCATAAAACTATGGCCTCTGGCTGGAAGTGCCCATAAAGCCTCTGCCTGCCCCACCCTTGCCCCCACCATGCCCCATTCTTCAAGAAGCTTTAGTTATGAGGGGTGAGGCTCACCTGGCTGACACTTAAACCCAGCTGTCCCAAGGCTGCACCCACGTCCCCCCAACCCCCACCATGGCCCATGTCCTCATCTATAGGCCAGACCTGGAGATACCCAATGACAGTTATACCCTGACTGCTTTTCCTAATCCCTCTTCTCCATGTAAGTCCCGAGCCCTTCTGCCTATCTCCTGCCACTCCCCAACATGTCCACGGACCTCCCAAATCTTGACACTGAAGGATAACACCCACTTCCCAAGTAACAGTCAGATACCTTAGCTTGGCCCCTACGTCCTGCCCATACTGCCCAAGCCTGCCCCAGGCCCCACCCCACTCTCCTCAACTGCTTCCCACCTGCAAAAGGGCAAGGCATGTTCACACCCTCAGACTCACCTACTGCTCTGCACATGGTAGGCCCATGGATAGGACCTCCCCATCCTCCCTCCCACACCTGGAAAACCCCTACTCATGCTCCTCAGCTCAAAGATAACCCCTCTGTGATGCAGATCCTTCGTCCCTGGGGCCGCTGGGACACCATGGCCAGCCTGCAGAGCTGCACACCTCACCCTCTGTGGGGCCGACTCATCGCACGTGTTCTCCTCTGCTGACTGGCCCTGGACACTGCCGTTAGCGGGAGAGCCCGCGTGCTCAGGAGCAGACCTGGCTGCTGGAGCCCAGGTGTGAGCCCTCTAAAGAAAGCTCAGTCTGGGAGGAGGGACAGAGGTTGAGAGATGGTCCAGGGTTAAGGGAATCAGACTGGTCCCAGCCAGAAGTGCATAAATGCATCTCTCCTTCAGCAGAAGGGGGGCCGAGGGAGAGCCCCCCCTCATTCCTTTGCTGGGGCTGGCTCCATGGTGCTGAGCCTATGCACTCCCAGGGCCCCCCACCCAGAAGGGCCCCATGCTCAGGCTAATCCTTTGCTGTTGTCATCTTCAAATTCTGTCTGTTTGTTTTTTTTTTTTAAAGATTTTATTTATTTATTTATTTGTCAGATTGAGAGAGAGAGAGAGAGTGTGCACGCACAAGCAGGCACAGGCAGAGAGAGAAGCAGGCTCCCTGCCAAGCAAGGAGCCTGATGTGGGACTCGATCGCAGTACCCTGGGATCATGACCCGAGCCGAAGACAGTGGCTTAATGACTGAGCCACCCAGGCGTCCCTCAAATTCTGTATTTTTGAACAAGGACCCCATATTCTGATTTGGCACTGGGCCCCGCAAATTGTGTGGCTGGTTCTGCCCCTGCACTTGCAGGGCCCTGCATGAGCTTGCCTCTCCTGGGCTGGCATGGCCCTGGTGGCAGCATCTTGTCTACTGTGACAGGGGAGTCGCCGCTGCTCTGTGCCATGCTATTTCCAACCACAGGAAATAAAAACTCCACCCCTCCTTGCAGCAGATCCAGAGGCCGTGTGACCGTGGCCTCCTGGACAGCAAGACAACAGCAGAAGTCTCTGAGCTGAAGGGAGACTGCTGGCCCACCCATGTGGAAGAGTTGTCCAGGGCGATCAGGGTGGATGAAGCACCTTCCTTCCATCTCTATTTCAGCTTCTCTATAAATCATCCCAATACATCTGAGCTTTTATGTTTTTGTGGAAAAAAATGCCATTTAGAACCTTTTTGGGGGGACACCTATGTGGCTCAGTTGGTTAAGCATCTGCCTTCAGCTCAGGTCATGATCTCAGGATCTCCTGGGATCGAGCCCCATGTACGGCTCCTTGCTTAGCAGGAAGCCTGCTTCTCCTTCCCCTCTGTGATCTCTCTCACTCCCTCTCAAATAAATAAATAAAATCTTTAAAAAATTTTTTTTAATAATAAAATAATCTTTTTTTGTCTTCTAGACAGTGTCCCTACTTTCCTGAGCTATCCTAGCAAAACCCCAAATCTGTACACAGGGGTGTCTACACAGAGGTAGTAAAGAAGCCACCCTGGGCTTCCTAGAAAGCTGTCCTTTCGAAGCACACAAGGCAGAACGCAGACTCCGGCATCAGGAGTTTCAGATTTGACTGGGTACTTGCAGCTCAACAGTAGCAGGACTTTCGGCAAGTTTCTCAGGTCCCCCTGGGAGCCCCAGTCTTCCTCACATCAAGTAGGGGAAGTAACGTCTATCTTACAGGTGCTGCAGGAAGCAGACGAAGTCCCTACTAGATGTAGCACAGGGCCCGTCATCAACCCCCACACAACGGTCCATGGGTTATTCCCTCCACAGTAAGAACAACTAGTCAGTGACCACAGTCTGTTACACGCCCACTGCTTGTGGATCTCGGGCAGGCTGTGACATCCCCAACCTCAGGATGCCCAGCAGCAGTGAGCACAGCGCCCTGCTCCCCCCGAGGCGGGGGACGGGTATGTGCGCACACTGAATGAGGTAAGGCACAGAAAGGCACTCAATAAGCCACGCTCCCCGTGCGGAGCCCCCCCACTTCTTTGCTATCATACTTTGATCCAAAATGAACCCTCTGGAACATACAGGAGAGAACAGAATCACAGGCAGCAAGAGGCCAGGGAATGGTGGTCGAGGGTACCAGTATCACAGCCAGAAAGCCCTGGCTCCGCTTTTCTCACCTGCCAACCTGAGTAACACTACCTTCCCCGCAGAGGAGTGGTGAGGAACACAGAGCAAACTCATTGTCTTTCTTCCCCATCAGCCCCTTAATCCACACAAAGCTTCTATGCCCTCCACGGCTGTGGTTATCCACCCCATCGGATCAAATCAGAAGAGATGGATGGCTTTCTTCCTAATTTGCAGAAGGAAAAAGCAAGGGTCAGATTATCCAAGGCACAGAGCAAGTTATCGAAGACTAGGAATGAAGGCCAGTTCTCTGATTCCCACCATACTCTCCCACCTAATTTCACTCCTGCCCAATGAAGATCATGTTTTCAAGCCAAGGGCACAACGTCAGCCTGAGGAAGTCTCGTGCAGCAATGCACTGGGTGCTGCCTCCTGACTGAAGCCCTCTAACAAGTCCACCTTGCACCCCGGAAACACAGCACAGAACAGGCACCCCCCCCCCACGACGCAGAGTTGGAAGACAGAATATAAGCCCCCAAAGGCTCTGATAAGTCATAAAAGTTACCAGAAGCCGAAGAATGATGACCAACGCTAGCAGGTTTAGTTGGGGGTGAGAACTTACTGTGTCCCCAATCTTCAGGCCTTCACACTTCCTCTGGCCGGGGTAGGACACACCGTCCTGGCAGGTAGCAGTGAAGAAGAGATTAAGGTCCTCAGGCTGATCCCAGACAGACACCTCCACTTTTGACCGGATGCTCTGAGCAGAGAGAGAAGACAGAGCCAGAACCATTTAGTGTAGGCCGCAGCAGAGATGCTCTCCACACTGATCCTCGGAGGCCCACAGGACCGTCCCTAACTCAGGAGCCTCAGGCCAAGGGAAAAGCCACTGGGCTTGGTTCACTGCCCATCCCTCATCCTTTCCCTTCTCTGCACACCACACACCACCTTCCCATACCTGGCCCGAGCTCTCCCTCTGTGAGCTCAGAGAGGTTGACAGTGGTCCACCTGCCATATGGTAACTTTATCTGCTTCCAGGGGGTGATATTCTGTCCCCACTCACCACTCCAGAGTCACCTCTCGTCCCACTCAGCTTTGGACACTCAGCTCCTCAAATCTTGCCATGTGCTCCCTAGACTTTGGTGGTTTAATGGGCCTGGGATAGCGTTCCCTCGGTCAATGGCTCTTCTTGTCAACCTTCCAAACCAGTTCAGCAGGCACTTTCTCCTAGAATCCACCTGGCTGATCCTTGCAATCACACCCACCCTCCATCAGATGAGGGCCACGTTCACTGAGTTTTGAACCATATTCTGAAAAAACAGTATCTTACATGGGGATAATGTTTTCAAGATGGTGAATGAAATAAAAGTCAAGCCAAAGTTACCCATCAGAACAGAAAAAATAAAAGACGAAAAATATCAAGTGTTGGAAAGATGTGTGGAGCCCCTGAACCCCCACTCTGCTGGTGTGAGTCTGACTGGTACAAGCTTCGAGAAAACCATGAGGCACTGTCTACCAAAGCCTGGACCAACCTTGGACTTAGTAATTCACTGTAGGCTTATACCCAACAGAGACATGTACTGACCAGAGACACGCATGAGAATGTTCATAGCAACACTGTCCACCGCAGCTAGAAACCAGAACCACCCAAATGCCTGTCAATGGTAGAAGAGACCTTTAACAAAACAATTATGGTGTGTTCACACAGAACACCATATAGTAACAATTAATGAAGTATCACTACATCCCATGACATAGATGAATCTTGTAACCCTGCCTGAAAGAAGTCAAACCCAAAGAGGATATATATTGTATGATTCTATTTATATGACATTTAAAAAGAGGCAAAATTAATGGTTACCCTTAGAGCGATAAACAGTAGAAGAGGGCACAATAGGTGGTTCTGGGTATCAGTAATAGCGTTTTTTGATCTGGGTGCTGGATTCTCAGAGCTATTTAGCTTGTGAAAAGTTTGTGCAAATTTCTGCACGCCTGTATGTTGAAAAACTTGCCATTGAAAATCTCTAAAGAGGGCACACTTTGGTGACTCAGGGCAAAGGAACTGGCTTGGGTCTTACAAAAAATAAATTTGTTTATACACAGATACACGGACCCCAAGTTCAACGATGACCCCGAGGCTGGCACCCTCCCTTCAGGTGCACTTCAGGGAAAATGGCATTGAACAGACGGCTGGCAGAACTGCCTCTTGCTCTTTTGGGTTCTTTTCTTTGTGGGTTTTTTTTTTTTTTTTCTTTTTTTGCTGAGCCTGTAGTGCTAAACTTGAATAAGTTAAATATGCAGTTTTTCCACAAATTAATGGCCTGTTGAAAATACTCTCTGCAAAAAATAGTCTCCCCCTTTGCAACAAATTGTCCAAGTGCTTCTACAACTCTAAAAATACTCTCTCTTAAATCTACTTCCTCTTGTGCCAGCCTCAACCGGCCAAGAGTTGCATGAGTATCTCTCAACATACACAGTGCTCTCCTGCTGAACACAGTTCTTTACAAAGCTCCTGAACTCACTGAGCGGGGAGCTCCCAGAGCCATATCCTATTTCTCCCTAGTACTGAACACAACTTCTGTTGAGTGAATGGATGGGTGTTTTAATAGCAGCTATACTAAGGGGTTCAGACCTAGTGGAAAAAACTTAAAATTATTTTTGAGGCAGGTCAAAAATATTTTTATTGCTTATACTGTGCCTTTTTTTCCCTGTGACTTACTCATTCCATAACTAGAAGCTGTATCTCTTCCTCTCTCTCCCCATCACCCATTTTGCCCAAACCCCCACGTCCCCTCCCCTCTGGCAACCATCAGTTTTTTCTATTTATAGATCTGATTCTGCTTTTTTTTTTTTAAGGATTCTAGTTATGAGTAGAATCATATAGTATTTGTCTTTTTCAATCTAAGTTATTTCACTTAGCACAATACCCTCTAGGTCTATCCATGTTGTCACAAATGGCACAATTACCATTTTTCTATGGCTGTGTAATATTTCATTGTGCATATACACCACATCTATCTTATCCACTGTATACTTAGGTTGTTTCCATATCTTGGCTTTTGTAAATAACACTGCAATAAACATAAGGGTACGTGTATCTTTTCGAATTTGTGTTTTCATTTTCTTTGGGTAAATACCCAGTAATGGAATTACTGGATCATAAGGTAATTCTATTTGTAATTTTTTGAGGACCCTCCACACTGTTTTCCAAAGTGGCTGCACCAACCTGCATTCCCACCAACAGTGTAAGAGGGCTCCCCTTTCTCCACATCCTTGCCAACATCTGTTGTTCTTTGTTAATTTTGGCCATTCTAACTGGTGTGTAGTATCTCAGTGCGGTTTTGATTTTAATCTCCCTGATGGCAATGATGATGAACATTTTTTCAGGTGTCTGTTGGCCATTTGTAGGACTTCTTTGGCAGAAGTGTCTGTTCATGTCTTCTGCCCATTTTTTGACGTGATTATCTGTTTTTTGGGTGTTGAATTTGAGGAATTCTGTATAGATCTTAGATATCAGCCCTTTGTCGGTAGTGTCATTTGCAAATATCTTCTCCCATTCCGTGGGTTGCCTCTTTTTTTGTTGACTGTTTCCTTTGCTGTGCAGAAGGTTTAAGTCCCAAAAGTTCATTTTCACTTTTGTTTCCTTTGTTTCTGGAGATGTGTCTTGAAATAAGTTGCTGTGGCCGATGTCGAAGAGGTTCCTGCCTATGTTCTCTAGGATTTTGATGGATTCCTGTCTCACATTGAGGTTTTTCATCCATTTTGAGTTTATCTTTGTGTAAGGTGTAAGAGAATGGTAGAGTTTCATTCTTCTGTATATAGCTGAATATTACTCAGCCATCGGAAATGATGAATACCCAACTTTTGCATCAACATGGATGGGACTGGAGGAGATTATGCTGAGTGAAATAAGTCAAGCAGAGAGAATCAATTATCATATGGTTTCAATTACTAGTGGAGCATAAGGCATAGCATGGAGGACATTAGGAGAAGGAAGGGAAAAATGAGGGGGGGAAATCGGAGGGGTAGACGAACCATGTGAGACTGTGGACTCTGAGAACAAACCAAGGGTTTTAGAGGGGAAGGGGGTACAGGGATGAGTTGGCCTGGTGGTGGGTATTAAGGAGGGCATGTACTGCATGGAGCACTAGGTGTTATACGTAAACAATGAATCTTGGAACACTACATCAAAAACTAATAGCGTACTGTATGGTGACTAACATAATAAAAAATAATAATGAAAAAATATATATTTTCTAATTGTGAATAACTATGAGAATGAGGCAAATCAGTGTATCAAAAAAGGGCTAGGTAGATTGGAGCTATGTAAAAAATGACTTAGGGTCAGTCACATAAAACACGAAGTTCCTGTGTCTTGCCAACAAGACATCGGGAGGAAACACTAGTGCTCCCTCCCCAAGATCTGCTCGAGCTGCCTCCTGGACATGTTAATGGGGGAGAGAGAACAGTGGAGACTGGGATTCCTACTGAATGAACTGGTAACTATGATGGATGGAAATCAAATCTATGCTCCATTCTGGCCATAAGACCCCAAAGCCTTGTGTTGTGATCTAAAGTTTGTATTATTCCTGCTCCCTACAGGAATCAGAAACTCTTAAGATGTTGGGGGCAGGGGATAGGAATCATGGAGATTATTCAGTTCAACCTGTCAGTTTATGGAAGTGGGAACGGAGGCCAAAGAAAAGGCATCACCCAGGGTCATTCAGCTGCTGGCAAGCAGGACAGAACCAGGTCTTCTCCCTGCAGTATTCCGACCTTGGAAAGTACTAACAGTCAGGTTGCATTCTGGTCCTATGTGTCTATCTCCTGCAAAAGACCATGGGCTCCCAAAGGACAGGACTGTGTTTTGTTTACTTTTTTCCCCCCAAGATACGCATGACGTCTGCCACACATTAGGCCACTGGCATATATCTGTTGACCGAATAAATGACCACATGGAATGGAGCATAAAATAGAGGATCCAAGCTTCAGGAAGTGCAGTTCTTGCACATGAAGACCTCTGCAGGATGCCTGAAATTCAATTAACTCCCACCACATCCGCTCCTGAAGATGTTTCCTTACTCCTCATCCTAAGACAAGGAGACAATGTCAAGGATGCCAGAAGTTTAAAGGCTATTAAAATACCCAGGCAGGCTAGGTCACAGCTGTAGTTGCTTTAAGTCAGGCCAGCTATGGAATGGGTGGGCACAGCGTTGATGGCAACAACAAAAAGAGAAACACGTGCTCCTCTCGGAGACACATCTTCCACAGCCTCTCCTACTACCCTCCACATGCCAGGCTAGCAGTTTCCAGCTCCTTCTGTTCTCCCCCACTCTGAAAAGAACCCCCCCCTCCGCCCCCCACCCTACCACCATGATTCTGAGTCCTCATCCTCTTTCTCAACGTGACACAACGCTGGTGTGTTGTGTGTGAGCACCCGGAGCCGCCCTCCGGGCTCTGGAAGAGAACCTCTCCCAGCACCAACAGCACAGCCAAGCTCCACGCTGCCAAACCCCCTTGGGAGGAGACTTGGTGATCTCTCACAATGAAGAATTTGGCACAGCAAATGAAAATACAGAAATCAAAGCCCAGAGTTGAAGACTTCCCACTATGAGAGCTGTCTACAACAGACTTGAGTCTGCAGGACATGGACTTACACACACCCTTCCCATCTTGCTCCCGCCTCAGCCTCGCTAAATCCCACAGCTGTTTTGTCTGTTACATGTGCTTCACCCAAAATCTCTTCAGAATGTCCCCACAGATGGCTGGCCACCTCTCGGTGGGGGTGGGGTCAGAGTCAACACCCAAACTTAGTCATCTGCTGCATGACTCACATGGAATCCAATGGAATCCATCACAAACTGCCGAGACGGCAAGGTAACACAAACAGAAGCAAACAGTCCAGTCACGGCTGGGCTCAGACCCAGGCCAGGGAGAGAAGGAGGTGGAAGGAAAGCCAGAGCTAGGTACACTAAGTGCATACAGACACACACACACACACACACACACACACACACAGTGACAATGGGTCCAGTAGCATCAGGTGGGAGTTCTGGCTCTCACTCTGACTCCTTTAGTTAAGTGTCCAGAGGCTGAGGCCAAAAGGCTCCCAGCAAGGAATGGCCCTCAGAAAGGAGGCGACATTTAGCAGGCCTGGGCCCCCTCCCCCACACATGATCTTTTCTCAGACACGCTCTTGGTAGATCATGTTTCCATTCACCATGGAAATGTGAAAACCACTGAAGATAAGGTGAACCCGGAAACCCTGGCCTGCTGGGTCTGGTGAAGACTTAAAAATCAGAGAACAGAAAAGAGGATGTCATATGTGAGGAATGGGGTAGAAGATGGGGAAGGAAGTCTTTGGTTTCTCTCAAGAGGAAGTTCCAGGAGTGAGGGGGGATTGGAGCATTTGTAAGAAAAGGACCTTGAACTGCACTAGAAGGTGGGGTGGGTAGAGGACAGAAAATCACTAGAAGGTGGGGGTGGGTAAAGGACAGAAAAGCATCCACAAATCCTCACCGCCTTCCAGCTCACTGCCTTTCGGATGCTGAAGCTCCAGGAGACTAAGTGACAGCCCTGGAGTCCCCCAGTGGCAAGCACACAACCTCTGGCTCCTGGTCCAGCTGAGCAATATTTTGTAAGTCAGAACAGGACTGCATCAGTAGTCTGACAAAGTCAACACTGGAGAGGCAGAGCTCCAAATACTCACTTGTACATCATAACGGCTGGGAAGATGGTTTTTCTACCACACGTGTGATGCCATAGTGGATCCCGGGTTAGCCCATAAATGTCTATTTTACATAAGGTTAGGACTAATAGTGCTACTTCAACTGTATTTACTTTATGCATAACTTTGTTTTAACAGGAAGAGGCACTCAATTCCAGTTTGGGAATCAGCTGGCCCCATGAGGGGCTGGGTGGACCCTGGAAGCTATAACCCTCGTGGGTCTTCGCAGGGAGGGGAGAGCTGAGCGTCCAGACTTGCCTGCACAAGAAACTGGGCCTGCCATCTTCCTGAGAAAAGTAGGTCCGAGTCAAGTGCTTCCTGGGTCCACAGAACTGAGGGAAAGGAGGAAAGGAAGGAGAAAGGTCTGGGAATCCCGGAGACGGGCTTGGCATGGGGAAGGGACAACTGGAGCGCATCTGGCAGTGCTCCACTTCCACTCACAGGCAGCCAAGTCCGGGTGACGAGTTACAGAGCACAGAACTCACCAGGCCCTCTCAGCCTCCCTCTGAAAGGCCCTGATTACAACCAGACCTAAGTGGGCAGGCAAAGGGCCTCTGATTCTTATAGTCCATGACAGTCTGCAGCTCCCTGCAGAGCTCCAAGAGCTTGTGGAATGCTGACTGCCCTGCCCACTGGGAGGTGAGGTCAGCGGGCGTGCTTCTCTCTTCCTGCCAACATGCAGGCAGGATCACCTGGGCAACTGGGTGGATGCAGAGAACCTGTGCCCCCCTCAAGCATACGCTCCCATGGGCCCACGTTTTCATGAAGTCAGAACCCAGGCATGTCTGGGGGCCATTGGCCTGAGTCTGACTACGCCATTTACTGATTACTGGGTTCAATGTTTGTTGAGAATCAAGAGGGCAGAGGTGAGGGGAGAGGATGCAGCAAGTAGGATGGTCTTCTCCAGCCCAAACCTGAGTAAAGGAGGAAGGCGTCAAACTCAAGAGACTGGCCACAAAGGGATGTTTGGGGGCTCAGTCAGTTAAGCGTCTGCCTTGGCTCGGGGCATGGTCCCAGGGTCCTGGGATCGAGTCCCGCTTGGATTCCCTATTCAGCGGGCAGCCTGTTCTCCCTCTACCTGCCACTCGCCTGCTTTGCTCTCTCTCTCTCTCTTTCTGTGTCAAACAAATAAAATCTTAAAAAAAAAAAAAAGAGAGAGAGAGAGAGTGAGAGAGAGACAGGTAGGAGGAAGCAGAGCCACACACGCCAGCCTAATTCACAGCCCACCTACGTGCACGTCAGCTCCTGGAGCCTCAGTGGGACAGGGTGGGGTGGGGTGGGGTGGCCGTGGGGAAAAACTGATGACTTACATTGTATGCATTGATAATCAGTTGAATGATATTTTTGGAGTCTCCATGTAAAATCTCCACTGTCGTTCCAGGTATCAGGGCTGTGAAATTCTTGGAAAAAAAAAAGAAAAAGAAAAAGAAAGAAAGAAGAAATATAAGCCAATTTTGCCCTTCTATACCAACTGCTCTCCTGAGCTAGACCAGTAAGGAGCTCCCAGCACCACACTCTCTCACATCATAAACTGGAGAAGACGTCACAAGCAAGGTGAGAGGACCTGGCTCTGGGGCGCGCACATGTGGAAAACCAACCTCTGAAGGTCTGCATCAAAGGGCCTGGTAAGATCTGTTCCAGAAGCAGAATGTCCTGCTCCTCCCGGGAGACCTCTCCCCTCCCACCCGCAACAGACAACTCTCTGAAATTCCATCCTCCTCTATGGGCAACTTAGTCTTGATATCCTTGCCATCTTTCCTCAAGTCTACATAGATCTGTATTCCCAGGTTCAGCTCAAGGACGCCCTGGATGTGTTCAGCAGGAGCAAAGGGGGAGGCTCTTCCAAGAGTCTATGGCCTCTTTCCTGAATGGGGAACTGAGACGTGAGTGGTGGCTTCCCTGGGTATCTCTGGGTGAAATCCTGGGCACAGCAGGCAGCCTTGAAGTGGCTGCCTCTCCTCTTTCATTTGTCCTAACACCTGAGTAGGTCACATGTTAGACTGCCAGAGAGCTCCAGGAACTCCCACTGTCCTCAGCCTGTCTTGGGCCGCATGGGCCAACTCCCTGAGTAAGGTGTCCTTGGTTCCAAGCAAGAACGGCTTAGGCCATGGTGGACTGCTTCTGTCTTGAGGTATCTGGAAACATACCCAGTCTAGTCTGTGCAACTGATCCCTCTAGAGATGTTCCTTGTAAACAGACAGGTTTTGTCCTGCTATCTTCCTCTGCACAAATAAGGAAAACAATCCTCATTCCTTGTTTTCATCTTGTGAAACTGATTCAGACTACAAGAAGAGAAAGAACTCAAGCAGATGCAAGTGGCATTTGATCAGTGATAATCTCAGGCAGAAGCAAGAGAAGACCACAGACAGAGGTTCTTCTGTGGATAGTTAAGAACTGTCTGGAGAGGGGATGGGGGCTCGCTGGTCCGAGGGGCGGGCAGGGCTGGGGAAGGATTGCTGATTCAGTTCTCTTAACTTTTCAAGCCAAAGAAGTCAGAGAGGAGCTGGGCTTTACGTCTCTCTTACACACACTCTCCCTGAGCAACTGGGAGACTTCTAGTTCAAAATGTGACTTGCCTAGATTGTGAGAAAGAACGCATTCACAAGGGGAGCTTACAACGACGGTCTAGAGGGTGACCCGGGAAAAGTCTCATAGAGTCAATACATACAGAGACTCCTCTATTCATTCAAGACATCTGTTGCTTTCTTTGGGAATTCCTGTCTCAGACTAAGCCCCTGGTCTGCCCTACTCTGCGAAGAAGGCATAAAACCCCGAATACTGGAGTTAGTAATGTAGCTGTTCCACTGCCTGGGTTTTCTTTCCGTACATTTTTATTTTATATTGTCCTTTCCTATTACACTGAATATCCATTTCATCACCTGAAAAATGGGAGCTTATACTATTTCTAAAGTTTTTCTCAGGATCAAACTAGATACTGTGTTTATATTGCTTGTAAAGGCATGCACATCTAGGGGAATGCTAATAGATTCTTCAATACTGTTATTTTCCACTAGATCAAGACAGGGCTATATTCCAGCCCTCCTGTAGATCTCCTCCCACACAGAGCAAGGCTGTTAACACTCCTCACCCCACCGCCCCACATTCTAATCGCCCGTTCACCTTGGGATCATCATGGGCCCTGGAATCAGGCCATGAGCCTCCCTCACTCCCTCTAGGCATACCTTGTAGAGCATATAATGGCTTTTTGTCACCGCAAAGATGAGGTTGATATTGTTCTCTGCTAACTTCTCTCCAAGCAAGGCAAGGGATGGATAGTCCTAGAGCCAAGGCAAAAAAAGGTCAAGGCTGTAACGTTTCCAACAGGATGAGACAGTGGCCCCCAGCTCCAGAATGCACTCGGGAATTCATCACTTGCTGGGAAAAGCAGCTTCCCCTGGCCACCCTTAATAACCAAGCCCCAGTTGCAAGCTTCAGACTGGGGAAATATGCCAAGATCTCAGGAAAGGACCCTACGGCACCCCCAAACTAGATGCATTGCCCCATCCCTCCTAAGCCAGAATGGAGACGTGACCGAGGAGGAGAGTCCCACACCTGATGTGTGTCTCCCTCTATCCTTCCAGCAGGGATGGGACAGAGAGGACAGCCCCCCTCCCCCCCAGAGTCCAGCCACCACACCCTACCATCTACCATCAGCTCCTGTTATCTTCCCTCTCTTCCTGAAGAGCCCTCCTCCCTATCTCCCTGCCCTCTTTTCCTTCTCTTAAGCCCAGCAGCTGGGCCTGCTGATGTCTGTTACAGGTCCTGCTCACAACTCTGAATAGGCAGAAGAGGCTGCTGACCTCTGGACCAAAAGTTGGCCTGTGGTGGGGGAGGGGAGCCAGGGAGGAGGGGAGGGTGGGGGCTGAGAGGCAGTCCCAAAGGATTTTAATGTCCTGAAGGATTTTAAGGGCTAACGATGGGTACAGAGGTCCTCACCAACTCTACAGTTACCAAGTTTTATAATTATGAGTCCTTTTTCCAGACTTCATTATTCTTGGATAATATGTGAGGCTTGAAACTGGAGAAAATGGGTTTGCCCAGCAAAAAAAGTTATAAAATATTTCTCTCTAGCCAGACACCAGAATGGATTTGGGAAGGAAAGGGTATAGTGTTTTTTGTTTTGTTTTGTTTTTTTGTTTTACTGCACAGTAAGTATGACAAAATCTTGCTAATTGTTGTATCTGGGAAACAGGTATATAGGAATTCATTTCACTGGTCTACCTACTATTATATATGTTTGAAATTTTGCATAAACTGTTTTAGATGACATGGTCATAGTCACAGACTATGGACAGTGGGAGGTCCTTGAGGCCTCTTATTCTGTGCACACCTCTGCAGCCATACTCCTGACCCGACAGAACTCTGTGCCTCAAGACGCTCATTTCTAGAAGTCACAAAGTTTTACCTTCACTTGTTTTGCCCTATAGCTTCTGTCCCAGTTTTGATCTCTACAGGAGCACAGTCCCTGCCCTCCTGTAAGGTCACCTCCATCCTCTGGGATCTATCCTGTCTGCCCCGGTCACCTCTTCCTTAACTAGCTTGCATTTAAGTGCACACTGGCGGGAAGATGAAGCAGCTACAGAAATCTGTGAACGTTCTAAGTTAATGAGGAGTTCTGGAAGCCCAGCTGGGGGAGGTGGCACAGAAACCCAACTTCCAGAACAGATTGGAAAGCCCGTGAGTAGAGGGCCAGGTGAGCGCTTGGCCCATGGATAGGAGCATGGGAGCGGGGCTGGGGTCGCTGGCCCTCACCATCTGATTGGACACAGTGTACTCGTTGGCCTCATTCAGGTGGCACTGGCCATCATGCGGCTGCACCAGGCCCCCCAGTTTTCCGTCCAGCGCAATGTGGGGCACGTCGTCCGTAGTGAACACCAGCAAATGTAGAGCATCCTTTCGCCAGCCAATCTTCTCCTGAGGACAGAACTTTGATGAGTGCCAAGCATTTCTGACTGCTGCCCAAGCCTGCCCCAGGACACTGGACAGGGCACAAGTCCATTGCCCAGGGTCATGGACTGAATCAGAGGCATTTCCCTACACAGCTGGGGGAACACTCATAGAAACCAGAGGAAGGATTCCACAGAGCTAAGAAGAGACACAGCTGGGACTGAGGAAGCCTAAGTGCACAGAGACAGATCTCCACAGCTGGGCCCATACTGGCCCATGTGCCTGGAACCTCCCTCCCGACCATTCTATCTTCCCTGCTCCTTTCAGTTACACCTGAGGGCTACCCTTCTTGATGCTGCCCCTTTTAGCCTCCTTCCCCAGAAAAGCCTTTAGTCCACCTCAACACAACCCCCACAAAGCACTCAGGCTGGCTGGCCTTATCTTAAGAAGACTGATAAGGAACACTTCGGTCCTCCAGCGAGACACAAACTGCTCAGAATGGAGTGTTCCAGTGATTAATGGATCTGTCTTTGGAGGATTTGGTAAAATCTGCCCTCTAGTCTGGTAGGTGTAAACCACTCTAACTGAGCTACTTTAGTGTTTAAGGTCAATCAGATTAGCTCTGTCCTCCCTTCTCTGCTTCCTGCATCCACTCCAGTCAGAAGCATGGCTGAACACCTGTAAGGGAAAGACTCTATTTCTCAGATTGAGACACTGTGGCTCCGATGTGACACAAAATAGTGAAAGGGCATCCCGAATACCACTCTATAACACATGAAGTATTAAACATTCTGAGCGTTATCTACCCATGCACACTTGACAGGAAAGCCAAAGCCTGGGTTCACAGACTTCATGAGTCAACGGCTGTTGTCCTTCAGAGAGATGGGGAATTGAGGGCATCACCGTCTTTCTTATTACCATACTGATGGATTTAACAGCCTTAAAGAGCTGTAACATTTTCTCACTTGCTCCAAAAGCAGCATGGAAAAAAAAAAAACAAAATATCAGACTAACGAGAGGGAGAAAAAGAGGTTGAAGAGAAGCCAATGAGGACTGAGAGCAGGATGCCTCCTATGAGAAGGAACTTATCTTTTGGGGAGTCAGTCTCCTCAACTCTCCACATTCATCCAACATATAACTGCTGATCTCCTACTATGTGTCAGGCCCTATGGAACAGGGTCCACAAAACAGCTTATTCCAGATCCCAAAGAGCTTACAGGCAAATGGAAACACAACTCCAACACATCACGACGAGGATGCTAATGAAGGTACATACAATGTCAATGGAAATGGGAAAGGGGGAAGACGGAAGCCTCCCCAGGATACGTGAAACGTAAGCTGAGCTGGAAGGATACAGAGGGCTCTTCAAGGAAGCTGGAAGAAGAAATGAAGGAGGAGGCAGAAGAGGGGGGTTTGTGTTCTAGGCACTAGCAAAGACACAAAGGGAGGGCAACCACATTTTGGGGACCTAGAACAAGAAACCTAGGTCTCTGACAGCAATGAAATCTAAGCCATGACAAAACTAATCTGTGGTGTTAGAAGTCAAGACAGTGGTTCCCCTTGGAGGCACAACCAGGGGGCGTTAATAACTGACAAAAGTCACAAGGAGGCTTCTGGGTTGCTGGTGATATTCTGTTTAATGACCTGGTACCTGGTATTTCCACCTTGTGAAAATTTACAGCGATGCACTCTTATGTTGTCTTCTTCACATAATATTAGACTTTGATAAAGAGTTTAAAACCGTGAGGGGCATATGGGTGGCTCAGTCAGTTAAGCATTTGTGTTCAGCTCAGGTCATGATCCCAGGGTCCTGGGATCAAGTCCCATGTCAGGCTTCCTACTCAGTGGGGAGTTTGTTTCTCCCTCCTCCTCTGTCCTTCCCTACTACTCGTGCTCTCTCTCTCTCTTTAAAATAAATAAATAAAATACATGAAAAAAAAATTTTAAACTGTGAAATACATAAAGCAGCACATTATAAGCCATGGAGTGTGGGAGGGCAGGATGCTCAGGAGACAAAGCATAATCAAGAGAGCATAGGGGCACCTAGATGGCTCAGTCAAACATCTGACTCTTGGTTTGAGCTCAGGTCACGATCTCGGGCTTGTGAGATGGAGCCTGGTGCTGGGCTCTGTGCAGGGCGTGGAGCCTGCTTAAGATCCTCGCCCTCAGGGCGCCTGGGTGGCTCAGTGGGTTAAAGCCTCTGCCTTCGGCTCGGGTCCTGATCCCAGAGTTCTGGGATCGAGCCCCGCATCGGGCTCTCTGCTTAGCAGGGAGCCTGCTTCCCCTCCTCTCTCTCTCTGTGTGCTTGTGATCTCTGTCTGTCAAATAAATAAACAAAATCTTAAAAAAATAATAAAATTTAAAAAAAAAATAAAAAAAGATTCTTGCTCTCCCTCTGATCTCCCCTCCAAAAAAGGACGGGGTAGGGGGCGGAATGTAAACCAACAGCACTTTTTGCAGGAAAAATGTGGATCTGCTATCCACAAGGATACAACAATGTGCTAACCACCCTGACAAGAAAGTAGAACAACCTCTAATCTGACATAGTGTATTAAGAACCTTAGAAAAATATCAGAGACCTAAAAAAATGTACAGAGTTAGTTTCCATGGATCAGAAGTATGTTACTGAGATGTCATCTCTTCCCAGATTGACCTATAAACTTGGCACAATCCCAATCAAAAGCCACAAAGTTTAAAGTTTTTAATTTAATTTAAATTAAAATTAAGTTTAATCTAAAATTCATATGGAAAGGCAAATCACGGATACTAGCCACATAATTTTCTAAAAACAACAAAATTGAGGGACTCATTATCTAAGGTCAAGGCTTATTACAAAGCATCAGTAATTAAGACAGCCAATAAACATCGATGGTGGAGCATGACAGAGATAAACAGACTCACACAGAGATGGTCAATTCAACAGAAGGTACTGGAACAATTAGACATCCATATGGACAAAAATGAAGCTCAACCCATACCTCTCACTAAAGAGATTAAAAAACTAACTAGACTTAAGATTCTGAAGGAAAAGGAAAAAACCTTTGTGACTTTCCTATGGGAAGAGATTTCTTAGATAAGATGATTCACAGGATAAAAATTGACGAACTGGACTTCATCAAAATTAAAAACATCTGCTCTTTGAAAGACACCATTAAGAAAATAAAGTGAGAAGGTGTGGACTGGGAGAAAACATTTGCAAAGAAATAAAAATCTGATAAAGAGCCTGTTTGCAGAACACCTGAAGAACTCTCATAAGATCAATACGAAAACAGACAACTGAACTTCAAAAGACAGAGACTTGAACAGACATTTCAGCAAAGAAGGGAGATGGATGGAAATAAGCACATGAAAGGGTCCTCAACATCATTAGGCATGAAGGAACTGCACATTAAAACCACAATAAGAATGCACTAGATAGCTACTCCAATAGCTACCACACCACCCCTGATAATACCAAGTGCTGGAAGGGATATGGTATAACTAGAACTCTCGAAATCATTAGTGAGAATACAAACATTCCAGCAACTTTGGAAACAGCTTGGCAGATTCTTACAAAGTTACACATACACTTACCATCAACCCAGCGATCCCCCTCTTTGGTATTTACCCAAAGGAAATGAAAAATTATGCTCACATGAAGATTTCTATGTAAATGTATTTTTCTAAGATTTTGTTTTTAAGGAATCTCTACATCCAACGTGGGGCTTGAACTCACAACCCCAAGATCAAGAGTCGGAAAGAGCCAATCAGGCACCCCTCTGTGCAAATATTTATAGGAGCTATTCAAAATCATCAAAAAGTCGAGACACCAAGTGGTGAACAGAGAGACACAATGTTGTACATCTGTACAATGGGAGACTGTGCTGCACCAAAAGGAACAAACGCCACACACACACACACACACACACACACACACACACACGACCTGGACAAATCTCCGAAGCATTATGTTAAGTGAAAAACACCAGAATCCAAAGGCCACGTGTTAACTCCATTCATATGACACTAGGGAAACGACAAAAACATAGGGACAGAAACAAACTGGTAGTTGCCAAAGGCTGAGGGTAAAGGGAGGGGCCGGCAACAAAGGGATGCTAGGGAACTTTCTGGGGGAGGAAAATAACCCCGATCTTCACTGTGGGCGGCTGGAAGACTTGAGCCCAAAAGGGTGAATTTTACTCTATGTAAATTATCCCCCCATTAATGTGACTTAAAACAAACACTCTTCAAGAAGTATACATCTTTTGGGCGCCTGGGTGGCTCAGTGGGTTAAGCCGCTGCCTTCGGCTCAGGTCATGATCTCAGGTTCCTGGGATCAAGCCCCGCATCGGGCTCTCTGCTCAGCGGGGAGCCTGCTTCCCTCTCTCTCTCTCTGCCTGCCTCTCTGCCTACTTGTGATCTCTCTCTCTCTCTCTCTGTGTCAAATAAATAAATAAATAAATCTTAAAAAAAAAAAAAAAGTATACATGTTTTGACTCGATGAGTCTCCTCCAAGGGACTCGGTCTGCAAGAAGTTTCCCAAAGTACGCACAGCAGTGTTTTCACCAGTAGTGACACACAGGGGAAGCCGTGAATACCCTTATTCAGGAATGGTTAAGTAAACGAAGAGATCTCTTCTCTGGCCATTAGAAATTATGTCCATAAAAAGTATGAAATTTTGGGTAAACGTGTGTGATATTAAGTGGAAAACAACATACAGCATACTATGATGACAGCACGACTGCAAACCATGAGAAACGAGCCGGACTTTCTCGAAAAAAGAGAGTCAGAGCAGTTGAAACGACATCCACCATAATGTGGTAGGGGGTCGGATGACAGGCAGCATGTTTTACTTTTTTCCATTGTGCGCCCAACTGTCTTTCCGAAGCAAGTACCACTTTCCCAAGACTGGGCTGTGAACACTGCTCTTGTTCAGCCACGTCTGCCTTCTCTTCGGCACCAGCGTCCCTGGGGGCTTGTAGGGACCTAAAGGAGGCTGGCAGCAAGGGCACAGAACAGTGTGGAACCTGGGTGCCCCGAGATAGGCA